ATGGAGGAGTTAGTCCAGAAGCTTCCAATGAGTAAACGTTTGGATTGGGCCCAGTTTGCTTCAACTTTACCTCAGTTGCCGACAATTTTTGGATTTTAGCAGTAGATCTAGCAGTGATCAAAAACGAATGTGGTTTTATATGCTTCTGATGGCCCAGAGCGGCAGTTAAAATGTTTTTATTGTGTTGGCCCACATAAAATATTTGATTGTAAGAAATTTTTAGAATATAGTGTGCGTAATAGATGGAGTGAAGCGAAGAGATTGAAGTTGTGTTTTTCGTGTCTCAGTGGTTGCCATTCAAGTAAAGATTGTCGTCGACGTAAGCAGTGTCCCATGGAAAAGTGCCAAAGAAATCACAATAAATTTTTGCATGAAACTAAACCTAGTGTACCAAGTCAAAGACCTGAAAATATGTCCCCTACTGAAAAAGGTTCAACAGTCGAGCCAGTGCTTAGTTGTGTTTCCAGTGCTAGTGAAAAAAGTGATTTGTTGTTCAGAGTGCTCCTAGTGGTTCTTTATGGACCAAATTCTGGTATTGAAACTTATGTACTCCTAGATGAAGGTTCTTCGGTCGCGATGATGGATAGCTATTTAGTGAGACAGCTTGAACTGCATGGTCGACAAAGTCAATAGAATTTGAGTTGGTATGGTGGTAAATCGTCACAAGAAGCTGTCATGGTGGTCGATCTTCATGTGAGCGGTGTTAATAAGAAGAGGAAATATGCTTTGAAAAATGTGTATGGTGTCTCGAATTTGAAGTTGCCTAGTCAGAGCTTTAATATGGATTTAGTAAAGAATTGTGGTGTTCCTTTATGCTCCTATGAATGTGTGGCTCCAAAGGTACTAATTGGTTTAGATCATTGCCATTTAGGATTGCCTGATGAAATAGTCCCCTTGGAAGATGCTGGTCCATATGCTGCCAATACGCCTCTTGGATGGGTTGTTTTTGGAAACGTGAAAGGAGGTCGCCCTGGAACACAAACTTGTTTGCTGACAACACAGTTGGATAATTTGAATAACTTGGTGGCAAGTTATTTTGAAACAGAAAATTTTGATGTTAAGGCTCTACCAGTGATTGAGTCAAGAGATGATTTGCGTGCACGGGAGATATTGAGAAATTGGACGAAGAGGGTTGCCGAAAGATTTGAGTCCAGACTTCTATGGTGCAATGATGACGTAGTCCATAGCCGGATAGCTATTCCATGGCCCTTAATCGATTTTTTGGATTGGAAAGCAAAATGAAAAATAATGCGAATTTTGGTGTGGCTTATAAGAAAATAATTAATGAATATTTGAAAAAGAACTATGTACGCAAATTGTCACTGAGTGAAGCAGAGACCTGCGCCGATCAAATCTGACGGCGGCGGCGGCCTATGTAGAAAAGTTTCAGCGGCGGCTTTAAGTCGGCTGTGAGCCGAATAAATTTGCTATATTGCAAAATTCATAAAATTTAAAAGTAAACGTTTTTAGTATTTACGTATCCGATTAAAAAACAAATATTATTGAAGTTCTTTTAGTTTTGTGATATAGAAAGGAAAACATCAGGCCAATCAACAATAATGCTCATAATACTAACATAATTCAAAAAACGTCTTTTCGAGAAAAATGAAAGAATGTTTTAAAACTTTTTAAATGTTTCATGATATTTTACCCTTTTAACAAATTTTAAATATATCAAATTTTCTCATTTGAATTTAAACTAAATTTTTACTTATCGAATACAATGTCTAAAAGCATCAGTTTTATTTTTTAGAATTTTTTAGCTATTTTTGAAAACAGTTATATATATTTATATAAAGAATTGGAATGCATAATTTGTAGTACTCAGTTTAAAAACACGAATTTCCAAAAACACATATTTTAAATTTTCAGTAAACAATATAAAAAGGTAATAATTATACCCTTCACCTTCGTGAGAAGGGTATATATGTATAAGTTTGTCATTCCGTTTGTAATTTCTATAATATAATTTTCCGACCCCATAAAGTATATATATTCTGGATCCTTATAGGTAGCGGAGTTGATTAAGCTATGTCCGTCTGTCTGTCTGTATGTCCGTCTGTGTGTTTGTTGAAATCAGTTTTTAGAGGAGCCCAGATATCGGGGTCTGTTAGACATGCTTTCGAGAAGATCGCTATTTAAAATCAGCAAAATCGGTCCATAAATACCGGAGATATGAGCAAAAATCCGAGACAACCTCTGAAAATTTCATAAAAAAGACAATTTCTTTTCATGCTTTGATATAAGCAACAACAACAACACTGCTTATTCATTGAGTATTTCGTTTCATATTGATATTCAATAAGTTTGTTTTTTTTGTTGCTGCTAATTCCTAATAAATTGATTTTTCATTTCATAACCCCTACCTCCTATCTATGTAATGGCCCTTACTGCTATTGCTGCCTCCTACCATAAGCCATCTGTACGTATGATTAATTGTAGTTACGTTTGTACGTTTGAAGGTAAAAACCACAATTTCCACATAAATGAGTAAACACAACGCGTATGGCCTGGGAAGATTGTTAAACATGAGCAGAGAAATATTTCTTTCAATACTTTTTTTGCAAAATATATATAACGTAGTTCAAGACTAGCTACAGTGGCCAAAAAATGTGAAACTAATCAAATGAAATTGCCAATAAATAATAAATAGAAATGTATCTTTTTAGTTAGTTAGTTAATTAGTTAGTTAGTTTGTTTTTAATTTGTTTAATTTTAATACATATAGTATTAATATGCATATAGGAATCGGCGGCTCAATTTAAGCCGATATAAGCCTAACAAATTTTCGGCGGCGGCGGCTTCTAAATTTATTCGGCGGCTTGGCTTTGCCGGCTGTGAGCCGATCGGCGCAGGTCTCTGGAGTGAAGTTGATACATTTCATCCGAGAACGTGGTACTTGCCCCACTTTGGTGTCGTTAACCCTAATAAACCAGGGAAAATTCGTTTGGTGTTTGATGCAGCTGCAAAGGTGGAAAGTGTCTCATTGAATTCAAAGTTATTGAAAGGCCCTCAGCAGTACAAACCGTTGACATCCGTTTTGTTTAATTTTAGAGTCGGTTCCGTAGCTGTATGTATAAAGGAAATGTTTCATCAAGTTGTTGTTGCTGAAGAAGACAGGTGTTCGCAGCAGACCTGGGCGATTTCCATTAATTTTGCATTAACATTAAATTAAAAAAAAAAATGATTTAATGTAAAAAATATTGCATTAACATTAAATTTGTAAAATTTAATGCATTAAATTTCCATTAACATTAAATATTTTTGAATTTAATGCATTAATTTTAATGCATTTTAATGCATTTATTTTAATTTTTTATGTATAAAGGAAATGTTTCATCAAGTTGTTGTTGCTGAAGAAGACAGGTGTTCGCAGCAGACCTGGGCGATTTCCATTAATTTTGCATTAACATTAAATTAAAAAAAAAATGATTTAATGTAAAAAATATTGCATTAACATTAAATTTGTAAAATTGAATGCATTAAATTTCCATTAACATTAAATATTTTTGAATTTAATGCATTAATTTTACATTAACATTAAATATTTTTGAAATTAATGCATTAATTTTGCATTAACATTAAATATATCTGAATTTAGTGCATTAATTTTACATTAACATTAAATAAGCAATAAAATTAATGCATTAGTATTCCATTAACATTAATATATATAAAAATTGATAAACGTAAATAAAAATACAGCACAAAAGACCTCGATCTAACTAAATACAACTAAAATTAAATAGGTTAAAGACCTTTCTAATAACTCCTATATTCCATTAAAACTTGTGTGTTTTAAATATGATATTTATATAAGATTCCACAGACAAAATAAACTAAAAAAGGAATATCTGGGAAGTGATACTATTCTTCTAATAAGTATTATCGTGTATAGGACTTATTCGAAAGGACTTTAACAAAATAAACTAAAAAAGGAATATCTGGGAAGTGATACTATTCTTCTAATATGTATTATCGAGTATAGGACTTATTAGAAAGGACTTTAACACATTCAATTTTACTTGAATTTAGTTAGACCGAGGTCTTTAGCGCTGTATTCTTATTTTTATAAATTATTTTATACATTAATGTTAATGGAAAATTAATGCATTAATTTTATTATTTATTATTTAATGTTAATGAAAAATTAATGCATTAAATTCAAAAATATTTAATGTTAATGCAAAATTAATGCATTAATTCCACAAATATTTAATGTTAATGTAAAATTAATGCATTAAATTTAAAAATATTTAATGTTAATGCAAATTTAATGCATTAAATGTACCCATGTTAATGTTAATGCAATAAACTTGCATTAACATTAATTTTTTTTAATGTAGAAAAAATTGTTAATGCATTAACACATTTAATGCATTTATCCCAGGTCTGGTTCGCAGAGGCTTTTGTGGCGTGATAATGAAAGTGGTCCACCGGAAGTATATAATCAAATGATGACGTTTGAAGCTACCTGTTCGCCATGTATGAAGGAAACAAACTGAGTATCGAGATCGTTTCCCTAGAGCCGTGAAGTCAATTCTGGATCATCATTATGTAGATGACTTTGTAGGGTTTGAAATGCGTAATTTTACATCGAATTCATCAGAGGTGGTTTTGGCTCTAGAAGGCAGTTTAAATCATGAGGTCAGTTTCTCAGGTGGCTTAAATGAGATGGACGGCTCAACTGAAAAGGTACTTGGTATGTTTTGGGATCCAAAGGATGACGCATTCAAATTTGTTCTGAAATTTCATCGTGTGAATTCTGACGTCATCAGCGGTAAAAGGTTCATTTTTGATCCAATCGGTTTTTTGTGCCATTTTATGATAACAGCAAAACTTTTGATGAGAAAAGTCTGGAGACATAGTGTGTTTTGGGACGATATGTTGCCCGCGTCATTACAAGTGGAATAATTGGCGCCAAGAGCTACGAAATATTGTCCATGTTAAGGTTCCACGATTTTATTTTGGGAATGGTTTGCCCTTGAGGTTAGAGCTGCATGTTTTTGTTGATGCCAGTTGATGCCAGTGATGGAGAAATAGGAGTGTCGTTTATATCTGCCAAATCGAAATGTGCCCCATTGAAATGTATGACCATTCCCAGATTAGAACTACAAGCCGCCGTTTTGGGCACCCGATTGATTGACACTATAATGAAGGAACACGATCTCAATGTTTCTCGCCGAATCTGTTGGAGTGACTCTACAACCGTCATTAGTTGGATTAGTTCTGAGAGCCTGAGATATAAACCATTTGTTGCCCACCGAATTACCGAAATACTTGACTCCACACGCCCAACGGATTTTAGATGGTTGCCTACGAATCTAAATGTTGCCGATGACATTACAAGAGCTAAAAATAAAGTAGATTTTGAACACGTTGGTTCCAAGGGCCACAATTTTTGTATGAAAACGAAGTTGATTGGCCGAATAAGAATTCTGAGAAATCTGATGATTTGTGTGAGGAAGAACTACGCCCCAAATTTGTCATGCTGGTTAGTACAAATTTAGTTATAGATTTTAATAGTTTTTCTTCATTTCTCATGCTTAAACGTACTATGGCTTGGGTTCTGTTATTTATTAATTGTTGCCGAAAAGATGATAAAAACAAGTTAGAGTGCTATATTCGGCTGAGCCGAATCTTAAATACCCTCCACCAGCTACTTTTATATAAATACTTTTTTAATTGATCGAATATTTGTAGAAATGAGTTTTCTTATGTATTAAATAGAAAACCCCAAGATTTAAACAGCTTAAATCTGTTACAATTCCAAAATTTATTGAACATTACATTTTCTTTTATATTTTTATAGCGCCCCAAAATATGCTTTAACGATATTTAATAATGTGCATGTATGCATGTGTGTGAAAGATTTTCAAAATACATATATAAAATTTTGTTCTACACAAATTGATAATGCAACTAGTTAAATATGGTTAAAGTGCTTTTAGGGGCAGGACCTAGTATGGAAGATATGACCAATTATAGACCGATCGTAAAAAAATTCTTTAAGCAAAATTTCTGTACATAAAAGCTATATTTCAGTCAAATTTTGTATCTATATCGTAATTTAGTAATAAGTAATGTGTGTTCAAGTGATTTTCTGAAGGGAAACTTGCCGACCGCACCCATGTTATGGACCGATCGTGAAAAAATCTTGAAATAGAATTTTTGTATACCAAACTAATATTTGTGCCAAATTTTGTATCAATAGCTTTATTTGGTAATGAGTAATGAGCGCACAGTGGTATAGGAAAAAAAAAAGAGGGAAATAATTCGGTAACTTCTAAACGGTTAATCCGATTTTAATGAAATTTGGTATGCACAAAAAGGAGGTGTTGTCGAGTTTAGGTTTTGAATTTGGACCTTATAGGCCAACCAGGGGCCCGGCGGGGGGTCCTCAAATTAGGACACCTCGGCTATGTTAAATTTTTAAAACGATCTTATTTCTTCATTTGAGTTCCGATTTAAAAAAAATTTCGTATATAGAATCTTCTCATCGAGCACTATAAAAAATGTCGTCGTAGCAGTAAATTATATCTTATAGTTTAGGAGATATTCGCATTTGAAAATTAAAATTTTAAAATTTTTACCGTTCTTACTTTAGTTTTTTGATAATAGCGGGTCCAAATATTCCCGATTTTCGCCATTTCTTTTTTTATTCGCTTAACAACAAGTTTATATATCAAGCAGTGAAAGAATTATGTAAAAATCATGACTGAGTCCAAAGTTATAGGCATTTTAATTTAAAAAATTAAAAAAAGGCGATTTTTTGCCATTTTTTTGGGAAAAAAGTATCTTTTTCTTTTTAAGTTATCTAAAAAGTTTCTAAGAAGATGTATATAGAATTTATACTTTTTGAAAAGCTGACTTTACATAAAATACGATAAATGAAACAAAACCTAAAAATTTTTGATACCGAGGGGACCAGGTCCATCCAAAAAACCCTATTTTTTTATAGAAAATTCAATTTTGAGCATAAATTCTCAAATCGCATAGTCGATATCAAATTATAGTGACCTGTTTTATATGACCCAATATGTTCTTAATCATTTTGTAACGGGTTTCGATAACCCCGCCCCTGGTATGGATATAATAGGCAAAAAACCAAAAAATCCCATTTTTGGGATTTTTTAAAACTTTTTTGGGAATTCCGGGATTTCTAATAAGAAAATTCGAAATTTTATTTAATTTTGGATTTTGAGTAAAAAAATCTACCTAACTGTAAAATTTCATCAAAAAATATTCATAAATAAAATTTTTATTGCAATTTGAAAAATTTGTATCTTCGCAAAAACTGAATAAAAAACATTTTTTAATTTTTTTTAAAAAAGTATTCCGCGAATTTTTTAATTTTCAAAAATTATATACAGTTTTGAAAAATAGACAAAATTACCTTTCCATTGATATATAACATGCCTACCTAATGTTTTTTAAGTGACAAATTAATTAGGGAAAACTCAACATCTTTTAGAAAATTTACCTAGCACTATTATTTTCATCCATAACGTTAACTCTTAAATTTGTTACATATATTAAAAAATTTTCAGGTATTATTTTTTAAACTGTAATGATTTTTACCCCTATAGGTCACTTTAATAGGTAGCTTATTAAAGTGACCTATTGAGGAAAAATTCATTACATAAGGATACGTTAGACATTAGGTAGAATATCATAACCCTTTAAAAAATAATTTAATTTAAGTACCTGTAATTAATATATAAGACAGGTTTATATCTGTTTGTAATTATTTGTAATTTTCTAACCATGGCGATCGTACTAAAAAAAATGATTTGTGCTCCATTTTATTTGAACACTCTTCAGCTCCTTTTCAAGATAAAGTGAACTTCTTATTGAAATATATTGAAACTGCACATAAAAATAAAGTGGATAAAACTGATATATGTAAAATTGAAAATTTTATAAAATCAGTTGATATAAAACTGAAGAGTGTTCGGTATTCCATTGCTAAATTTCGATCGAAATTTTCTGATTGGCTGGATGAATGTGTAGAAGTTGCTATTTGCGTATCAACTGTTGGTGCTCCCTGTAAGCAGTATGAGGATTTGAGCTCAAAATCTAAGAGGAAAAGGTTATCAACTTCACTAGAAACCTTATCTAACGAAGAAGTTTCGGACACTTTTAAAGCAATGTTAAGAAAAGAAAAACAGCCTTTGGATGCCATAAAAATTGCAAATATTCTTCCAACCGCATCACCAAGACGACTGAAAAGAATTGTAAAGAGTATACCCACACCATCATCTGATACAACGTTCACTGAGGAAGAAGCTATTGCGCTTATGTTGCAGCTGGGATTAAGTCGTGATAACTACATAACGTTAAGAAAGGCGCTATCTGAAAAAGGAGTGGATGTTTTACCATCATATGACAAAATAAATGAAAAGAAGAAAAGCATTATACCACCTCCTATTGAAATAACTGATCGGAAGGCTGTTATTGGACTCGGCGCTCTACTCGAAAATACTGCTTTAAGGATTGCTTCTGACTTTTCTTCAGACCAACTAAAAAAAATAAATTCTTGTGATCTTCAACTCATTTGTAAGTGGGGATGTGATGGATTATCAGCACTCTCGGAATATAAACAAATCAACACAAGTGAATCATCTTCCGAGTATAAAAGTGTATTTATGGCATCGCTAGTTCCATTAAGAATTCGAAAGTATGCTGACAGCGATTCTCCATCAACCAGTTTCGATGATATTTGGAAGAATTCGACTCCAGGATCCAAAGCTTTTTGTAGGCCAATAAGCTTTGAGTATATAAAGGAATCCAAAACAACAACGCAAGATTTGATAAATCGTATTGAAGCAGAAATTAAAAACTTGGAACCTATAACAATCGAAATAGAAAATTATTCGTTTAACATGTCCTATGATTTAAAACTTACAATGATTGATGGGAAAGTTGGAAATGCCATTACAGGAACATCATCTACTTGGTACTGCTACATATGTGGTGATAAAAAATCAGAATTTTCGAATATTTCCAAGCAAAGATCAATAAATGAGGAAACATTACAATTTGGAATATCCCCCCTACATGCTCGCATACGATTTCTGGAACATTTTCTACATTTAGCATATGATTTAAAGTACAGAAGCATACCGGAAAATGCAAACAAAAGTGCAAATAACAATAAGGAGTTAATGGAAATGAGAGCCAGTGAGAAACGAAGAATTCAAGAGGAATTTAAAAAGCGGATGGGATTAAATATTGATAAACCACTCACAGGATATGGAAGCACAAACGATGGTAATACCGCTAGACGTTTTTTTAAACATTTTGAAACTACTTCCGAAATAACCGGAATTAGTATGGATTTACTGCAAAAGGTCAATATTATTCTAATGGCGATAAATAGCAAGCATAAAGTGAACGCAACAAAATTTGGAGAGTATTCTACAAAAGTTTCTAAATTACTTTTGGAATTATATCCCTGGAAAGAAATGACACCTACAGTTCACAAGATATTATGTAATGGAAAGGTCATCATAGAACATAATATTCTGCCTTTAGGAGAGCTTACAGAAGAACCCCAAGAATCGAGGAATAGAGACTTTAAGCATATTCATCAGTTTAGCTCAAGGAAGTGTTCTAGGCAGTCTCAAAATGAAGATATTTTTAATAATCTGATTCTATCTTCTGATCCTGTTTTATCTACTATAAGGAAACGTTGGATTTGCTACAAAACGTTAGCATTTGAAAATATTCATGAATTTAAAGATTTACTTTATCTTTTAGATATGGACTACTGTGATACCGATTATTTTACAAAATTATATTAATTTATAAAAAAAAAAATAAATAAAGACTATTTTTATATAAAATAAATACTTGTTAATTTTTTTTAGGGATAAAGAATAAAAGATTAATCGTAAAAAGTGGCTGTAAAAATTCATAAAAATTTAGGTAGTAAAACATGCCTAACAAATGTATGGATGAAAATAATAGTACTAGGTAAATTCTCTAAAAGATGTTGAGTTTTCCCTAATTAATTTGTCACTTAAAAAACATTAGGTAGGCATGTTATATATCAATGGAAAGGTAATTTTGTCTATTTTTCAAAACTGTATATAATTTTTGAAAATTAAAAAATTCGCGGAATACTTTTTTAAAAAAAATTAAAAAATGTTTTTTATTCAGTTTTTGCGAAGATACAAATTTTTCAAATTGCAATAAAAATTTTATTTATGAATATTTTTTGATGAAATTTTACAGTTAGGTAGATTTTTTTACTCAAAATCCAAAATTAAATAAAAATTTCGAATTTTCTTATTAGAAATCCCGGAATTCCCAAAAAAGTTTTAAAAAATCCCAAAAATGGGATTTTTTGGTTTTTTGCCTATTATATCCATACCAGGGGCGGGGTTATCGAAACCCGTTACAAAATGATTAAGAACATATTGGGTCATATAAAACAGGTCACTATAATTTGATATCGACTATGCGATTTGAGAATTTATGCTCAAAATT